GTTAATATTCCGAAAATATTCCGGTTTCCTCACGATGCTTCCCATTACCGTTGAGCACGTTATAAGGCAGCATTTAAATTAACAGTTTCATTGGTGCCAGCACCGGACCTGAACTCAGGTTATATTATATATAGAATGTTGAATTAAAGGCCCGGACACTGAGCTATCACGGCACCGTTTAATGAGTAGAAAACAAATATTTCAGGAAAAGAATCACCTAAATATGTATTAAATGAAACTAGTTTACGGATTTTATCGCGCTTTTATTTTGATTTTGAAATTCCCGGCATTTCGAAACTTTTCCAGCGTTCATTTTCACGGGACAGACTGTTCTACTTAATATTTAATATGTATAATATTCGCGTAAAATCAAGAAGTCAATACACCTTAATATGTATAACAAAACTACAAAAACGCTGTACCTAAAATACTGAAGGGAAATTTTATTGTAAACAAGCACTTACCGACTACAAACAAACATATTGCCCTCTTTGTGTACGTAACAGAGATGTCTCTTCCCCACACTGATAGGAACCGGTATTCGAGGAAACTGGTCGCTGAAAATAGGCGAGTACCTGAGAAACTAAACAGGCTGACGGGACGTTTACTTAACCCGTTCGCTTTGCTTTATTTGGATGTTAAACCGTAAAGGTTCGCCGTATAAGCGGGCAACTTAACTGTACTAGATTCATGGTGTAGTTCAAACATCTTTCAAAAAGCTAGCATGGCTTCCTAATAAGTATCACTTTGTTAACTTGTCAATCGCTCTTTGAGTTGAATGTGAATGAACGAATGAACTGAACGTGAACATTTTTTTGATGAACGTTCTTAACGGAAAATCAAAGAACTCAAAGGAAATAAACTTAAGCTAACTAACTTACATAACATGCTCGCTTTGCAATAGCTGATTTATCTTTGATGATGTTATGAAACATGTAAGCTCAATGTTTACGTTGTGAAATAACTATTTTTCAGTGTACTCAAAACCCTATTTTCAATACTCGAAATCGTTGAAAAGCAAGAAATTATTTTTCTATATCATCCCAAGTTTTTGCTTTAATTTTAACTTAGCTGAATTTAATCTTGACTGTAAGCATGTAATTCCAATGGAACAGCATTTTTTAATCATAATCCGTTGGTAATTCCCTTGCTAGTAGATACATCTTTTGAATCAGGTGTCCTTGTTCTATTATCAGTTCTACGAGAATCAATAATGTTTTTGGGCACCCACGGTCGATTTTTACTTTTTCGGCGGCAAGTAATAAACAATGGTCAATCTTTCGTACGTAAAACCGTCATCCCATAACCCTATAAACTTATATGCGTTATAAACCGTGACATGTCTAACAATAAAACAAAACTTATATATATATATATATTCATCAAGTTCCAACAACCTAATCGGGCCGTCTGGAAATTCATTAATTAGAAAGCTTAATACCCGCAAAGTTAATCATACTTAAAACAAACCGGAATAAATTAATTCAAATCCCATAATGGACGCAGGAATATAATTATAATCAAATGCCCCAAGCCGCGACCGGGTGCGACGAAGGCTTAAGATCACCTGCTAACGTTTTCACGCGAGTAATTCTGACCTCTTCTCAAAAAAAAAAAAAGAAACAAATTTAAACTTCCATGTAGAAAATAACAATGTTTTTATTATTATTTGATGACACAGTGGCACAGTTGTTAAATTACGGGCTTCGGCGCCGAGAGTCGTGCGTTCGATTCTTAAATGGGAAAAGTATTTGAGCGACGCGCAGATAATTGTCCGAATCTTACGTCCGGTTTCTGAAACACTGATCATTGTAAAAATTAACTAATCAGGTGTCAAATGGCTTCACCATTCTGATCATTAAGAAAATCGTTCTATTTGTTAAGAAGACCATTCTGATCATTTCAGAGAGTTTAACCATCCTTTCAGCAACTCAAATAACATTTGAAATGCCATTTGACAGCTGATTAGTTAATTTCTACGATGACTACTACTCCCAAGTACAATTGACGACAGGCAGGCGGCCGATCGTGAAAAAACATAGCCAATAATATTAACAACATGATTCACATCTTGTGCCGACCGTACGAAGGTGGGATATAAAGGCGCGAGAAAAAAGAGGTATAAAATGCCATTATTTACCACACACGGATATTTTTTTTGTATTATTATTTGCTTATATTCAAATACGTAGTTGATTAATTTACACACTAAATAATCGCATACACTTTAATGATTCTGATTGATGGTTTAATAGCACCGAAAGCAATATGTCGAATACAATGATATAGGAAAATTATAATTTACATACAGTAACTATAGAAATTTTGATTTAGATATTTAAGTCAAAATTAATAAAAAAGTTTAAAATCAGTCTTTACATCTAATAAGAAAATATTTATTTCAGCGATACAGCAGTGTAGTCGGTACCAGCGTGGACCACCTACCTCCATGCTCTGATTGCAATTTAAGAGGCTAAAGTTCAATCTCGAATTGTTACCAATTCCCTCTAACTTCTTATAACGTTGATTATGAAGGCAATAGGTGATATTAAACACATTATTTATAACATGAATGTATAACATGAAAATAAAAATATGCAATAAACGTGCAATGTAACATTTTTTTACTCGATTGGCGTAGTGGGTAGTGCTCCTGCCTCTTGCGCCAGAGGGTGTGGATCGATCCCCATTACTGGAAAAATATTGTTTGATGAACATGGTGTTTTTCCAGTGTTTTTTTATATATTAATAATATGTATTTATTGACAAAAGAAAAGTATGTTTAAGTAAGTTTATCAGTTATCTAATACCCATAGTACAAGCGTTGCTTAGTTTGGGATTAGAGAACGTTGTGTGAAAATTTATTTATTTACTAGCTGACCGGCAAACGTTATTTTGCCTTATAAATTATTTCTAGGGCATTTGTGAATGTACCACATAGAAAAAGAATTTTCGGAACGCACCGATAAAATGTTTGACAGGTAGGAACAGTTTGTATGGGAAAATAAAATTGTTTCTATTTCGATATTCCATGCAATTTTTCTAATTTCTAGACCCTTCCCTGGACTGGTCTAGCCGTTCTCGAGTTTTAGCACGACTAACGTACAGCAATAAATTTTTATATATATAGATTTATTTATTGAATAAATGTTAAAATTAATATTAATCTTACAAAGGAAGGCATTTAGGATTTATAACGTTTATATTTGGCAAATAGCGATTGCTAAAGGTGTTACGTCCTAAGGGTTAGGGGTCTTTTTATTTTAACTTATAGAATGAACGTAAAAAGCGATGTAGAAAATAAGGAGCGAATTTACGGAGGCGCTATTTTAAATTCCTGTTCGAAATAAAAACGTTACCGGGAATTAAAACGTCCGGACCTCACGCAGGCGGCACCTTTGGCTAACTATAAACGAACGCGCAGAAAAACGAAATATAACAATACACGGTTCGGGTTGTATTTCGCAGGAAGGCACAAATAATTGTTACCGTGAGAAATTTCCAACGGTATTGAATAGAACCATTCTCTTTGTCGACGCTTATAAAAGAAAGTGATGGATCTTACTTAATCCGCCTACGTACCTGCTCCGGTCGTCTGTGACCCAACTTTTCTCGGCTGGACGAATTTTGTGCAATTGTAGCAATCCGCCCGTCGTCACTCTTCTTGAGAAATGTAAATCAACGCGTCCCCAAATTCGTGCTCTTTGTCACAATGCAAATGCTCTCAAACGTTTTGACACCACACGCTAACTTACTTTGCGAACCGTACATTTAGTTTTATATGACGACCCGAATGGCGTTGTGGGTAGTGTACCTGCCTCCTGCGCCAGAGGGTGTGGGTTCGATCCCCACTACTGGAAAAATATTGTGTGATGAACATAGTGTTTTTCTAGTGTCTGGGTGTTTATATATGTATAATATGTATTTATTTACAAAAGAAAGTATGTTTATCAGTTTTCTAGTAACCATAGTACATACAAGCTTTGCTTAGTTTGGGACTATAGAATGTTGTGTAAAAATGTGTCCTAAAATATTTATTATTATTATTTATTTATAAAGAAAAACTAACTACAAATCTAATTAATACTACTATTTCCTTAGAAACCTAACTGCACCAATATGTATCTTCTCAATTTACGTATATATATTCAAACCTAAATATACAGTTTCGACTTCAAACACGCTAGGATATAATTTAAAAAAATCACTGTATAAGATATAAATAGATCTAAAATATTTTTAATAGTATACAAAATATTACATACGACAGTAAAAACACATCGAGTCAATTAATGTCTCCAAATATGACACCTTTAATAATACATGGTAGGACAAAATTACGCAATGTAAGAATGTGTGTTAGACAAACAGAAAACGTATTACATATCAAGTCTTCAATATGCTTACCGCTTGTAAAAATATTCCTCGGAAAATTCATTTCCTTAATAGCGTTTAGACGGATATCTGTGACTATAAATATGTAAACACATTTACGTATATGCGTCTGATGATAGTTTATTTTAAATAGTCATAAATAGTGATACCAATAAATATCGTAAGTCTATGTCATATAACGATAATTAATGCCGCAGTCTCTTTTATTTTATGAAAATATACATGGTTCATGCCTTGATTATTGATATCGTTTTATTATTATATTAAATTGTAACAGAAATTATAGTTTTATAATTATAGTTCTAACACGATTTCCAAATCAATTTCTTACGATAATCTAAACGTTTTAAGTTTATATAATATAGATAATAAAATTTATATTATTTTCTTTTTTCCTATTTTCCTTTATCCTATTTCTATTATATACTATAATTCTTTCAATTATAATATAGATAATACCTGAAACAGATTACCGTTATCACATTATGTACTCAGCGAGGCGAACGCAGCCTCCCTATCTGGACCGGTTGTTTACTACAGTCGGGGGCTCGAGTGGGAACATTAGCTGTGTGATCATCACATAAACGACGAATGTAACACTGTTAGCCGTTCGCCAGTGGCCGCAGATAAGGGCGCGTGTGCTTTTGGCAAAGAGCGGTTGCGATTATGCGCGCGGCGAGCGATAGACGCGTACAGGCTTTACGGCGGGGCGCATAGGACTGCCGCGCCGTCGACACCAGCGCCCTCCCGCGCACGCGCGTCCCTTCCTTGGGATTCCGAAAAGCCCGACACACCTCTTGTCTAGCAAAAGTAACCTCCTTGACTGTACTATAATTAATGAATTCACAATATTTCACCCCCGCTGTCACACCGCGTCGCATCAGTAAAATCGAGGTCGCAAAAAATGCTTACAATATTTGAATTCTCCACATAATGACGCTTTGATAACAACAATAAAATATTTATAATATATTTAGTATGTAAAGAATCACGATACCTACCTGTTGGCTTGGTATTGATAGTAAAAGTAGCAGCCTATAAATGCCCCACTGCTGGGCAAAAGCCACGCGACCCCACTGCGGATTGTCGGACTTCACATATTTTCGAAATATTTTATTTATATTACTATTTCGAAAATATGCTGGTTTACTCACTATGTTTTCCTTCACCGCCAAGCACATGATAAGTCAGCACTTAAAGTTAACAATTTCATTGGTGCTGGCACCGGGGATCGATCTCAGGTTGGTCGAGTAAATTGAATTAAAGGCGAGCGCGCGGACATTGAGCTATCACGGCTCTGGTATTGATAGCGTGTTAAAGAAATATAATTATAGTCGAGTTTTAAGTTACAAGCACTCAACTTTAGAAAATATTCAATAGCAGTAACTTGAAATAGACTCTGTGCTGAAAGAATAAACCGTACTTTATTTGTGGTCTTATTCATAACGTCAACTAATGTTTACTTCTGGGTGATCATTCAACACGCATGCCGAATGTTGGTATCGTCTTTATTCTTATCTTTTTTCAAGTAATCAGCCTTCTCACCAATCGCTTAACAGAATTGTTTTTTGTAGATTTTATCTAGATAAACTTTTACATTTGTACGCTGGTCTCGTCCATAGACATAAAATGGAAAAGCTCCATTAAAAGTTTATTATCACAATTAATTTCACACCTACGCTGTTGTACATGATAGAACACGTGTTCTGTGGTTGTTTATAAATAAGAACCAAATAGCATTATTTTTTGTAATAAAAATAAAAATAGCTTATTTTCCGATAACTCCCATATCACAAAAAACCTCATTTTTAAAAATGAATAATAAGATGATCGATATAATTAATGTTACTGATCTTTCTATATTAATATTGCCCTTTTCCCACGTACAATGGGAATCATGACAGCGTTATGGTTTTGGGTAAGTTTCTTTTTGCTGTCTGATGTCATCCCTCCTTCAAAAGAAACACCCAAATCCAGAACAATTATCCGTGGGTCACACAAATACTTGTCCAGTATGGGAATCGAACCCAGGAGACCACTACCCTCGGCGTCGAAGCCAATACCTTAATAAAGCTATGATTTTCCTTTTAAAAATTCGATACTCATAATATGTTCTCGCCATTCGATTTTCCCTTACACCGACGTTCCTGTGCCCATGAAAATCGAATTGGCGCGTTAATTTCGAATACGAGTTCCGTCAAAGCACTAATAGGCACAGACGGCCGCAACAGTAATGACGTGTTTGCAGAGTGCGCTTTGGGTATTATCGGTTCTTTTCTGGAAATCTTGATCTCAATAATGAACCTCGTTGGCGATATATCGCCACAGTGAAAGCAGAGGCATCTGAAACTACGTCGGATTTAATAGCAGTAAATAATTTTTATTTATGTGAAAAGGTGGCAAACAAGCTGTGGCGGTTCACCTGATGTTATGTGATAAGCCCCTGGACACCGGTAGGCCTAAGATGCGTTGTCACCTTTTAATGAAGTGGTTTACCTCACTCACCAGACGAAAAACAGAGCAATTTCACTTCTGTGACGGTCTTCTATGAGGTCGTTGTACAACCTCGGCGGATCTGCCTACTCGTGCAACAGCGAAGACTGTTGCGTGCCCCCACACAGTCAAATGGTACATCAATGTAATACATAATACGATAGTGGATCATTTAAGTAATTAAATAAATAAGGAGCTCGATAAGTAGGTACCATAAGCTCTTACTGAACAATAACAACAAGGTTGCGTCGAAGCTTGTCTTCACTCCTTCAATAGGCACATAGACAATGGAAGTGTGTCTGATCATCACTTAGGATGAAAGATGGATTCTGTATGACCAGAAAAAACGTTCGTATTACTGGTTGTATACAGGAGATGTAGCCAAACCATATCCTAACGTAAACCAAGTTAATATAATCTGCTTGTGTGTACAGTAGATCTGTTTGGAACATTGTGCGTTACAGCTTTTTGAGATCTGGCACAACGATTTCTACAGAGAAATACTCCGAAATTGTTGTGAACTAAGACTCTATTGCTCTAATCAACCAAACCAAGTGCTCTAATCAACTCTTTCTTCACCACAACCCTTGTCAAACACCGCACTGATACGATTTAAAGATCTTACCAGAGTCTTTCTCGGTCTTACAGAGATCTTTAAATTGCAGAGCGCAGGGAGTTACGAAATAATATACTAACACACTTTTATAATGTAGAATTTCATTGAACAGCAGCTTCATTGTCCACATGCAGGACCGGTACGCCCGCAATTGTAGTCAATGCCTGGTATATTCTAGCAAGCCACATTAGTTCTCTGCCGGCTTCACTGGCTGCCACAATTTCGGCTTATGTAGTGGAGATAGCGACCGATGTTTGTCGCTGGCTGATCCATGAAACTGTGCCTCCAGAATAGCGGCAGATCACTCCTGTCGTAGAACGTCCAGTTTCTGGATCACCTCCGTGGTCGGCGTCGCTAAATCTAATCGCTAAATCTAATCGTCGCTAATCTTCTAGGATTCCAGGTTTGAGACCAGCCTTATAGGAGATCCCATGCGAAATGGTACCTTTGATGTAGCGCAAGATACGTTTTACCTTGAGCCAATCTGTCTTTGCAGGTTTCTCCAACTTTCTTGAGACAATTCCGATGGCATAAGCAATGTCAGGCCGAGTACCAACCATCAAGTATTCCAGAGCACCGACAGCTTCTCTATATGGGAAACAGGAATCTTCCGTTTCTTCTTTCCCTTCTTGAAGAGTCTCTCTCAATCGGTGTAGAAACGGGATTGCAGTCACTCATTTGAAAGCGGTCTAATACCTTTTTCGCGTATGCCTCTTGGTGCCATCCTTTCCTCGATGGATTTGAAGATCAAGATAATCGCTGGTTTCGTCGTTATGCGCAGTTTCTTCTTCAAATCTTCTAAGAAGGCGTTAGCTGTGTCTTCATCAGTGGCAGCTACTAATCCGTCATCGACGTACAACGTGATCAGTAGTTTCTTTCCGTTTACTTCTCTTGAATATAAGCAGCAATCAGCTTCGGACTGTTTGAAGGTCATATCCAATAGGATCTCTTGAAAGCAAGAGTTCCAGCACCTTGGTGCTTGTTTAAGTCCGTACAGGCTACGGTTAAGCTTGAAAACGGTAGACGTAGCCGTTCCTTCCGTGAGGATGCACCCTTCTGGCGGTTGAACGAATATTTCTTCCTCGAGCTTTCCTTTCAGGAAGGCTGTGCAGACGTCGAATTGGACCAGGTGTAAGTTTTCCTGCGCACTAACACTGAGTAATGCTCGTACAGTAGCCAGGCGTGCCACAGGACTGAAGGTCTGGTCATAGTCTCCTCCTTTCCTTTGTCTGTACACTTTTACGACAAGTCGAGCCTTGTTTTTGTCGATCGTGCCATCTGGATTTCGTTTGATCCGTAAAACTCATTTGCAGGGAAGTGCTTTTCTTCCTTTTGGCAGTGCACACGGCGTCCAAACGTTCTGGTGTTCGAAGGATTTCAATTCGCTATCCATTGCCCTTTGCCATTCTTCGCGATCGTCCCTTTTCATAGCGTCTGCGAAATTATTTGGGAATGTTTCAGTGATACAGACGTAATCTCTTAGTCTCTCAGGACGTCGAATCAGTGAGCGATCTCTAAGATTATAGCCAGCCGGGTGGCGGTGGTTCAGCGTCGTAAAATTCTTCTGGAACTGTGGTTTCTTCTTCATGGTCATGGTCTTCGTGGAGGACTTGATCCGATTCTTCTCCCTCGAGAACATGATCATGGTCGTTGGAGATTGGTTCGGGTGTATCTCCGTCGTGAACGTGAGTTTGCTCTGGAGCTGCAAATACTTCGGGTGGTGTTTCTGGTAGTACGTGTTTTACTTCCAGTCGATATAAGCCACCTTGTTTTTGTCTCTTCCCTATTAAGCACACTTTCCCGTTGACAATGACGTTTCATTCGGTTGTCCTGGATGAAAAGGTGCTATTCGGGACTCGGTCGTGAAGTGCGAGTACGGAGAAGAGGTTCTTGCTTATGGCCGGAACGTACCAGACGTCTTGCAGGCTGATGTCGATTTGTTTCCCGTTAACATATCCTCTGAGCTGTACTGTTCCTTTGCCTTTGGCACGGACTTTATTACCAGCGGCCGTTGTAACAGTGTAGTTCTGATTGAAATGTTCGTAGGTTTGGAAAATGTCAACTCTGTTGGTGACGTGGCTTGTCTGGTTTGGAAAATGTACCAGCTCTCATTGTCCCGTGAAACTGTGAAGATTTCGTTGTCTTCTAAAGACATGAGTAACAAGTTAGCGTTTTTGAAGTAGAATGCGTTGCTGTCTGGGTCGGATTTTGGCTCTTAGGAGGTCTACCATCACGGATCCATTTTTGACAGTTGCGTACTCTGTGGCCAATACCTAGGCAGTAGTTGCATTTAAGCTTCTTGTCCTTCTTCTCCGTATTTGAAACCAGGGCTTCCGATTGATGCGAAGGTGCGTTGTTACCTTGCAGTGCAGTGCCCTTTCAAATGCGCAGAGATGACTGGTTAGGCTTTCTACGGTACGGTTGGATTTGGGCAGGAGGAGCCAACTACTTCTGAAGCTGAAGTATGAATCGTCAAGCGTGTCCAGTATTTTACAAACAAGTAGCAGTTCGGGTAGCTCTTGGTTACTGTCCTTCTTGAGTTCTTGATTCAGTTCAGTCCAAATGTTCTTTAATTTTGACATGTGGGTGGCAATGTCGTCTGCTTGATCTTTCTTAAAGCTGAAGAAACTCATACACAGGTTGTAGGTTTTATCCTCATTTGTTCCGTCGAACAGCCTGTGGAGCTCTAACCAGACATCACGTACTTTAGTGAACCGCATAACTTTTCGAAGTTTGTCTTCTTGCATATTGGTGGTAAGTATTAAGATAGCA